TTTGGATTTCTGTTCATATAACTATTTCTTCCCAAGATATTAAAATACATAACAACGAGAAGCCAAATGGAGCTTAAAAAAACCATAAAGAAATATAGAGGTTTTGATTTTGCTATGAATAAGATCGATCCACAAGCAACACAATGAAAGAGAGACGCACTGCAGCCACGCCGAGGTAAAACAAGCAATAAAACCCAAAATAAGCATTTTGATATATAATGATTATTCGGCACATTAAACTAAAGCTGTGATGTGAAAAAGACACTTATTATTTTTAATATTATTATTATTATTATGTAATGGCGAGGTTGACAAACGGGTCGGTTGATAACCACACGAGGCATGATATAGGAAAGGCAAATATTCTTATATTCTACCCGTAATCACCGGTTTTTAAAAATGCATATGATTAATAAGCATAATAAAACACACAATATTTTAAGAAGAATATATACTTACTTGTCTTTTTCTGTACCGAAAATCGACGCCAAGTATTCGGCCATTTTGAAAAAAAGAAAGGCGGTGGGCGCTTTTTCTTCGACTGGATCATCAAGAACAGAAAAGCGGAACACAAAGAGCTAGAGTACTGCCACCTAGCGTAAAGAAGCACGAACTGCAGGGCCGCTGTTTCTTCTTCTTCTGTGGATTTATTGCAGCTTTTTAAGTGCGTGCCGCCACCTCCTGTGGTGAAGTGTGAAGTGATTTCATTTAAGTAACTCAACTGGTGTAAGTGGCAGTAATTTGACTACACAAGAAATTTTCCTTGGCGACGTTGACATCACTACCAAAAAATGTCCAAACAAATATATTAGTAATCTAATGCACACTAAAACACTTCTTGCAGCACGATCCTTTTGGGCTTCTCAGTTTGAAGACATCAAATGGGAAAGAATGTGGTTAATTGGGGACACGTTCCTCTTAAATAATAAAATAAAGGAGGTGTCTTATAAAATTGTACATAGAATGTACCCAGCAAAGAAAACGTTAGAGAGATTAAAAATTGATATTGAATATTCCTGTAGGCTACCTTTTGTGGCAATTATTTAAAGATATTTTAGAGAGATGTTGAAAACTATATAAGACGTAAAACTGGACAAACTTTAACATTGAGGAAAAAAGATGTGTTTATTTACTTTGAAGATGGTGGAACAGATAAGGATTTTTCTTTTCTTGTCCAATTGTTTTTAATCTTAGGAAAATTCCATGTTCATAAGAAGAAATGGGCAGAGTCCAAACCAAGTTTTGAACACCTTTTAGCAGAGCTAAAACAATATCACACCACTAGAGGTCTTGAAAATAGAAAGGCTATTAAGACTGATCTTGTACTTTCCAAATATGTTTAATTAGCATCCTTTTTTTGTAATTTGGTCTTGTTTTATTTAATTTTTTTTTTATTTTATGGTCATTGTTCGTCTTGTATGTCTGTTTAGTAGTGTATTGTGTGTATCAATCCTGGCATACACAGATGTTGTTGTATTAGGCTATATTGTTAATATTAAATAAAGCAAAAAAAAAAAAAAAAGATTTCATTTAAGTTTGATTTGAACCATGATTTGGACGCTCCGACACCCCAAAACATCCTTTCGACTCACAAATTCAGTGGAGAATTCGGCCGCCCGATGGAGAAGAACAGATGGGCTTTTTGGGCTTCCTTCGTTGAGCTGATGCCAACTGATCTTACTTTTTATTGGCTTTCTCTGCCACAACAATGGTGTTATACAAACAGTTACAACAGCCAAAGAAAAGTTAAAGTAAGAATTGGGACCAAGAGCCCAACTAAAGCAAACACTGATCACCACAATGGTTACTTAAAATGAAACATATCAACATGTAAACCTCATCTAAACAATGTAAGGAAATTACATTGATATAAACATGAGTTTTAATTTAATGCATCCTGAGTGTTTATTTGGTCCAGAAACAGTATAAATTGTCTAAATGAGACCATAAATGATGTTGAAAATATGTCCATGATGGCCACATTTGAACTAGTTTTTAACCTTGTACGAAGGTTCGATAGACGTCCATATCGGACGTGCAGAAGACGTCAAAAAAGACGTCATAAAAACTTTAATTCTGGCTCCTCAGTGGACGTCTTTTCAGCGTCCGACTCTTGTGACAAAGACATTGAAAAGACGTCTTTTGGACATCATGTTGTTTAGTGGGAATGAAGCCATCACAAAAGAGCTGCTTCTGTCAGCAGGAGAAGGAGCCAGGCAAAGATATCATGGCTACCTTGATGAACAAAAAAGAGTGTCAAAACAAGATGCTGTAGACTTAAAGCAGAAGAAGCTTAGTGACGAACTCCAAGGTCTGAAAAAGAAGAGGGCCACCATTGAGACAGATGTGTTTGCCCTCGAAAAATCGGCTGATGAATTGTCAGAGAAAGCAGAAAAAACAAGTTGTCTAACGTTCATTTCCAAATCAAACAGTCTCCAAAGCAAAGGAAAAAAGAGCTGCTCTAAAGAGCAAACAGCCAGTAGAGCATTACAATAATCTAGCCTCGAGGCCATGAATGCATGAACACTACCTATTCCAATTTTGCCACTGAGAGCATCACAGTTTAGATATATTTTTAAGATGGAAGAATGTGGTTTTACAGATGTTAGAAATTTCAAATAAAAGATTGTTATTGTGGAAGAAATGTGTTCTATATGTTTTCATTTTCTTATATTCATAGAATATAGAAACATGAGGGCAATGGTTTAACTAGTATATTTGAAAATATACAGAATAATATATTGTTAATATATTACAATATATTGAATAATACATAAAGAATTGCCACTTGCTGAAACTGAACAATTTATATTTACAAATATATCATGTATTTCATTTTACATTCGGTAATACACTTCATAATATATCGATATATGAGTTCAGATATGGTACAGTATGTATAAATATATTGCAAATATATTTACTCATGCAGCATAAACACATATAGAGAAATAATGGTAATTAGATTAAGGTAATAAAATGCATGAGGATTGCATGTGGAGTTCCATGATGTCCCATGATTCTCTGCTACATTGATAGAACAAATAACTGTTATTAACCCATGTGAATGTGTGTGTTGATTCATACCATTATGAATGTAAATGTGAAACTCAAGAGTTCAAAAGATAGTATCCATTCAATTATTTAAAAAAAGGTGTCACAATTTTTTAAATATAAAGAAAAAAATGATATTTACCATTTGTAATGTGGCAGGAAGCTATGATGCACATGCTTGTTCTTTTTATGTTTCTTAGAGGTTGAATTCATATCAAAATCTGCCAAACTTCTCATATTACTTCTGAATAGGATGTTTACTTCATAAATTGTGTGAAAATTGTGGAAATAATGGCTCATATCACTCAAAACACATATAGAAATGGAGGCGCCCTTGTTGTCATCTGGTGAGTTTGATACTGCGCCCAAACAAAATTTCACTGAAAGCTCATTTTTTGAGATATCAACCTAAAATTTGAAACACAACTTGTTCAGATTTTTGGCTTTGATTTTTTATTTATTTATATTATTTTATTTTTTTGCAGTTTTAGAGTCGCTCAGGTTTTTAAAATATATATTTTATTTAAAATATAAATAATATTTTTTTTACATTTTACAGTTTCATAAACTCAAACTTTTTCTGTTTCACTTTCTTAATTTATTTCACTTCTACAAAAATCTGCCCATTGTCTTTTTTAAAACAAGTTCAATCTTAGGCTACGTTCACACTGCAGGGCTTAATGCTCAATTCCGATTTTTTGAAAAAATGCGATTTTTTTGCAAGGCCGTTCACATTTCCAATTAAATGCGACCTTTTGTGATCTCCTGTGTGAACGTGAAATGACCCAGAAGTGACCCGCATGCGCAGAAGAGTAATCAACGGTCCAAGACGTCACTTGTTGTTTGCAGAATAGTTCTTTTTTTTCATATGTTGCGAGCTTTTGTTTTATTATTATTATTGCCACAGCCCATATACAAACACAGACAATAATTATTTTATCGACGGGCAGTTTGCACATAAATGTAAGATTTTTCCGATCCTCACCGACCTCGTCATAAAACCCGTTTAATTGATAGTGCGTGTCCGCGGCGCTCCTTGCTTTGTCACCGGCGGCCGCGGTGTTGCCAGATTGGGTGGTTATTCACTACATTTTAAGGCATGTTCACATGTGTTTTAGCCAGGTTTTCGCTTGGAAGGCTCTATATCTGGCACCCTACTGTACAAAGTTATACTGACAGAGAGCGCACGTTCACATACACCAGAATGAACGTGTTCACAGTAATGTTCATCAGGCAGTAATACATGTTTATTTCGGGCGAACGTGAATAATATGATACGCGAAATTATGAACGCGTTCATGCACTATCGTTCATTAAACGCGTTCAGGCACAACACTGGGGAAGAGACACGTCTGCAGTGTCCCATAACAGTGAGGAAACGCGTTGGAGTTAGCGTGTATTGGCTGGCTACAGGTGCTTGCAATGACGTGCGGGTCGGATATAGGCCTATGTGACCTGGCCGTTCAGATTGAAGTCGCATTTCAAAAGATCGGATATATATCGGATTTAGACCACATACCCAAGTGGCCTGGGTCGCATTTGAAAAGATCGGATCTGTGTCGTTCAGACTGTCATGAAAAAATCAGATACAGGTCGCATAGGGGCAAAAAAATCGGAATTAGGTCGTTTCAGCCTGCAGTGTGAACGTAGCCTTACATCTTCCAAAGTATTCTTGAATTACAATCATTCAAGTTCGAAATGTGCATTTTCATGTATATTAAAAAAAAACTTAAAGGGTTAATCCTATGTTATTTATTTTCCTTTTATGTTAACCCCATGTGTAGTTGTTGTCTATGTGTAATCTATTGTTTTGTATATCTTGTTGTTTACAATGACAATAAAGCTCTATATTCTATTCTATTCTATTCTATTCTATTCTATTCTATTCTATTCTATTCCATTACTCAATATATAAGACTGTTATAGACTTTTATTTTTGATCTCAGTTTCCACTGGTTTTAATACAACCTCAGAGTATATTTTGTTCTTCAATTGTTAGAATGTTGTATGTAAGATGTAAGAATTATGATTAGTTTAAGAATCATCTATTATTTAAGAAGCATCTATTTTCCAAACAACCTGTGCTTTAGGATCACTGTTTCCAGTGTCACCCCCTCTGCACCCTAGGGATCCGTCTGACTGTTGCCATGCAAATTAGTTTGCATAATGCAGCTCCATTGATCACACACATCTGCTCTTCACCTATAAAACTCACACCTGCGCTTCATTCCCAAACGCATATTCATGCTCTCGCACGTCACTCAGTGCGAAGAATTGTTTTGGTCCGGCTAACAATGGGGAACAATTACGTGTTCTAGCTCTTGGACGGTCTACTGGATGTCTTTGACCACTCTCTGGCTACTTCAACCTTGGACTGTTTCCTTGATTTCTGATCATTCTCCGGTTCCCACGACGCCGGGACTGTTGTCTGTACCTTATCTCTCTGCCTGCTGCAAATGGATCTCTATGACTCTGATTATTCCTTACAGTCATGTTGATGATGCTGCTGCTGCAATATAATGAATTGAACATCTATATACAGTTGTTACACATTTTCAGTTGTTTGTTATTCGTTAAATTTTCATGGAATAAGGTTTTATTCATTTGCCACATGTTTTCCTTTGAGTTTCTCGCCACTCACCAGTTTCCACGGACACTGATCTTCATTGGATGGATTATTAAACCCTGCATTTGAACTTTAACCTGATCTTCATGTGTTTGTCTGCAACCTTGCTAAAAACAGTGGGGTCCAAAGTCTAAGATAATTTAGAAAAAAATTAACAAAGTCATAACTTGAAGAAAGTATATTTTAAGATTCTTAAATTTAAACAAATTCATATTTGTTGTTTCTAACCTGATTCTAATTATGGTAAATATGTTTTATTATAGCCATGACGAAGTTTAATCCAAATTACATCCAGGATGAAGGACTCAAAGCTCAGAATGGTAGTCTTCTGTCTTTTCTCCTAGAAAATAGATAATCCATGATAAACACTGTAGTCTAAACAAACTGCTGTATCTTCTTTCATCAAAATAAAACAAAATGTGTGGGTTTTGTCAGACATTCCACATTACCATCATCTCAATCTCTTGATAAACTTTGTTTTTTAAAAGATAGCAAAAGGTATTTACCTTTTTGCCAGTAGAGTGAGCCGATTCCTGCTCCATACTCGTTTGAAGCTTCACAGATATACAGGCCACTGAGGTCAGATGTCAGCTTCAAAAAGAATAGTTTATTTCCTTCTGTTTTAATGGCATCATTGGGGATACTCTGGTGTGTGCTGCTCAAAGAAAAATAATATAAAGAATCAGTTTAGAACAGTCTTGTTTTTAGACTGGATTATGAAAATGCATACTGCCATGCGAATGCTTAATAATTTACAAAACCTGGCAAAAGATTGAGTAAAATATTAGGGCCTGTTCTCAGGTCACTCCCAGCGTACATCCACTAATATCCAGAAGATTGGCTGCAATTCCTTTCTCAATTTAACCAAATTTCTGTTACTATATTTATTAATATGCAAAAACAAAAAAAAAAAGTTCTTCAGAGGTTCTTTGCGGTGGTCATGGTGCTATACAGCACCACCGGTTCTTCAGTGGTTCTCCGGGGTGGTTAACGTGCTCTATGGCACATCTTATGGTTCTACATAGCACCATATGACAAAGATAAGTGCTATATTAAAGTGGTTCCCCTATGATTACAAGCCAATGAACCACTTTTAGTGCTATTTAGCACCATTTTTTTTTAGAGTGTACATGCTAGGGATGCTCAACAATCTGAGGCCCCACCACACTACTGCATTTTAGATATATGGTTTATGCGATAAATGCGATAAATGCCATAAACGCGATAAATCCGATGATTTTGTGTTGCAACGTTTCTAAACTTCTAGAGATGATGTGGCAATTTTATTAATAAACAAAGACCTAAAACAGATAAGTTTAAGTTTTATCTCTACTTTCATATTATATTTCCTACCTGTGCCATCTGAAGTGTGTAGCTGGAGGATTGGCATCTGTCTCACACTGATACACTTCAGAATGAGAGTGATTTTGGAACGGTGTCACAAAGACCAGCTGAGGGGGATCTTTAAAACACACACACAAAAAAAAACACAAACATAAATATGCCTGCAAAGTTCTTGCATACAATCTAAACAAATCCCTGTATACATTTGTGCAATCAGTTCAAATGACCAATCAACAACCAATTAATAAATCAAATAATACATGTTTAAACTGGTGGATAAAAAGATAAATCAACACTTACAGTAATGAAAAACAAAAAACAAATATAGGCCTATGTAAATTGAGAAAGAATATAATGCTTGTGAAAAGGAAGTGCTTAACTGTATTGAATGCACACATAAAATCTTAAAAGTACGTATTATTTTTAATGAAATAAAAGGCAACAAGGGGTACACTTTTTATTTTAAAGGTGAAAACGGGGTTGATGGTGAGTAATTACTGACAGAATTTTCATTTCTGGCTGAACTATCCCTTTAAGTTCCACTACTGTATTTAATGTAAATTCAAATTAGAATACATTTTTATTTATTATCAAATAGCATGCAATTAAGTGCTCACAAATATTTAATTCAGTTTGCACTTTTGTATTTCATTTCTGCAATAAGTACTCTTTTTAAAAGTATGGTAAAGTGTTCTTTAAATACTGAATGCATAATATTCAATACATAAAATTGTTTTTTTTTTGTCACTTCCCCTTTAATTACCATTTACTGTAAACTGTGAGTTTGTGTCATATAAAGGACCATATCACTTACAGTGCACAACGATCTTGTGATCAATGCTCAGTTCCTCTTTCAACATTGCATGTCTAATCACACACTTAACGAGCTGTTGATTCATCTGTACAGTTGGGGTAGCAATCAGACTGCTTTTGACAGTCAACGACCCATCCAGATGTTTCACAGTGCTGGTCGATAGCTTCACAGAATCCGATAAAGTGCCCAAATCCCATGACAACTCAGCAGCAGACTGCGCTGTGGAAGCTGTGCAGGTCGCCAAAGTAACCTCTGAGCGTCCCGCCACAGGGACCGCATCCACAGTCACGCTCACATGCTTGGGGCTCGGAGCTGGTGGGGACCATGAAAAACTAGATTAGTCAATCAAATCTTTTAGCACATTTAAGTGGAAAAAAGTTCGATTAAAACATAGATTATATATATTGTATTTTTTATTGTTAATGGGTCAAACTTGGTCCTGCAGCTACTGCCCTGCAGAGTTAGCTCTAATCCTGAAAAAAACCCATTCTATAATCCTAAAAGACTTGATTAGCAGGTTCTGGTGTGTTTGATTGTTTGATTAGGGCTGGAGCTAAACTCTGCACGAGAATGCCCATCCAGGACTGTGTTTGCCCATCCAAATTTTAAACAAATAATAAAAACTTGCAAATGAAAGCATTTGTGGAATATTTCTTGGCCTTGACCTGTCAGATGCTATCACAAAATAGCACTAGAAAATAATTTTCTAAGAGCAGTCTATTAACAAGCCCATCTCCAGCTGCAGTGAATGCAATGTGGTTGTTGTTGTTTCACAAATGCTTCCCCAAAGACTTCCTGTCTCAAACAAAATTTCAAAGATGAATAGCTTAAATGTTTATTGTTCTGGTAATTTAAAGTTGGGTTGCACTTTATTTCAATAGTCACTTTAGACGTTCTACTAATTATAAGTAACTTTTCAACAACATGTCAAGTCACTCTCATTGTAGTGTAGTATGTTATCATAGACTGTCAGTAGACTGTTAGGTTATGGTTAGGTGTTAGGCTTTGGGTTAGGAGAATAAGTTACTTGTAGTCGCCAAGTTACTTATAGTCAGATGAAAGTCTGTTGGGGGACCAACAAAATAAAGTGTTAGCAGATATTAAGCTGACAGTCTAATAATGACAGTTAGTTGACATGCAGGTGAAAAGTTATAGTTAGTAGAATGTCTAAAGTGGACTATCGAAATAAAGTGTTACCCAAAGCTGGAACGGTTTGTGACCACTGGCTATCTGGGTATCTCTTCAGCTCAGGAAACATTTTCTGCAACACTTCCCCAAATCAGTCTCAAAAGTCCAAATCCCAAAGATGATTAGCCTAGCTAACGTAAATGTTAATTGTTCTGGTAATTTAAAGTTGGAACGGTTTGTGACCACTGGCTATCTGGGTGTCTCTTCCTCTCAGGAAACATTTTCTGCATTCCAGTTTAGTCCTAAAAGTAAGCAGCTCTTTTTGTGAAAAAAAAAAAAAAATAATAATAATAATAATAATAATAAACGCAAATAAAAATTGTAAAGGCCAAAAATATATTTATAAAAGTTCACAATATTGTTGCAGATATTTTAATAATAGAGTAAATATTTTTATCAGGTCATATTGATTATTAATCACTTAAACGCCTTTGTCAGTGCATACACTTTTTTTTTTTGGTACCTGTGAAATACCCATTTCAACATAATCAGAATTTGGAAGCACTAATTGAAACTTTTAATCAGCCCCGGCTTCTTTATTCGGGGGACTAAAGAAATTACAAAGTAATTTTAAGATATTTTCTATCATTTAAAATGACCAGAATGCATCTACGACCATCTAAATTAATCTGATTCAAACCCATGTGAAATTTGAAAGATAATTAATAATGTTCCATTTACAAATTGATGTATTTCTTTTCTTTAAACTTAAAAATAAACAAAAAACAACCAAATGTCTTTAAATGTTTGCATTTCTGAAGAAATATGTTGAACACCAAATGTGTAACCTTCCCAAAAAACAGACTAAAGAGAGAATTTGAGTAAAATTAAATAACAACTGAATTAGGATGAATAAATAGGCTACATGTCAATGAAACTATTAAAACATTTTAGTTAAAAGATTCTTGTCATGGTAGCTTTTCTGCAATTAGCTTTTTGGCATTTAGGGACTAGGTGAAAAAATATAAATGATTATAGTGAAAAGCATCTTCTGGTCTCATCAAAGAAGCATTTGGTGTACTTATATGATAAACACCTCCAACTCACCATGAATCATCCAATTATCACAAGACAACCGTGGATGTCAAAGCTGGAGCTAGGCCTGTTTTAATCAATCAACTTTATTCAAGACACAAAGGTCCATAGACAGTACAGATATTTAAATAAATAAATAACAATACAAACAGTTAAAAAAAATGATGTGGAGAGGCATCATTTATAAAACACATACAAGCTTCGAGTCCAATGTTTCCAAAAGCAAGATGTATACCTTTTGTCACTCTTAGAAACATCAGCTATGGACACAATGATCATATTCAGACCCAGTCTGCACACGATGAATCTATACATTCAATTCCTTAAAACAGCGTTAAAAGTGGGCATATTGTTAGCCACAAACATTTCACTGACACTACTCCCCCTGAATTTGACCGCAGTTAGGAATTTAAGCCTCAACGATTAAATTGATGGGAACAGCTGCAGCCACATTTTCATTTCCCTGTCATGCAGGAGGCTAAAGAAGAACCACTTATTTGTGTCTGTTATTGTGTTTTTCTGTACATTCTGCTTAATGAATACCCCATTATATGGCCCGTTTGTCTTGATTTGATGACACAATTGCCATGAAAGCATAATAATTCCATTCATGACATGTCATACCACAGTTTCGACAGGGTAAAGATAGATAGAATGTTTCGTCAATGAAAATAAGGTCCCAAATATAAAATGACTGAAAGAGTGTAGTATAAAGTCATAAGCTATATAGCCTGTACAAGAACAGCAGTCTGACAGGTCTTCGCGCAAAACGTGGGCAGTGTCTCCACCGCCTCTGAATAAGTTCTCTAAAAATGGTGTTGTAACTTCACCTTTCAAAAAGAAAAACGAATAACATCAATGCAAGTAAACCGCATCATCAGCTAAGCAGTGTCTGCAAATTCTCTATAATATGTAAATACATGTACTATGTAAATATAGGCTAGCCCGTTTGCAGAAATATGTTTAGCTGATGGTGCGTTCTATTTGAACTGATGTCGTTTAGTTTTATTTTATGTTTGCACTTATCAGTTTAAATTATAAGTGTCGAGTCTATCCCAACTCTGTCAGATTATCTACTTGTGCACTTTGCCAATATTTATATACCCAGACCGTGTCCTGAAAAAAGAAAGATTCTTACAGTTGTTTCACCACGATAGCCTATTATTTCAAATTAGGAACATATTAAAAAGATTAATAACTTACCTTCTGACTTACTGGTGAGAAGAAAATAAGAAACAATAACAGTCGTAATAAAGTGAAAGGAAAACATGTCTTTAACGGCACATCATCCGCGTTTGAAGAGAATGAGAGGGACGTCAAAAGCGGTTGTCTTTTTGCAAGATGGTTAAGCAATACAGTCAAGCATTAATCCAGTGAGTCACCGCTCTACATTTGCTGTGGAGTGCAGAAAAGCGGCGTTGATCGAGGTCCAACATTATCCGGAGGCACTGATGTAGTGGTGCCTGGAGAAGTGGGTATACCCTTAATTTATGCCCCCAATATTTTTTAAGCGTCCCAGCATGAACACTCTGTGTTATAAACAGTGAAATGTAAGACTACTAGTCTTGCATTCAATATGCAAGACTATAGAATATAGTGAATATAGAATCAGTAGTATCCTTGCATATGGGCCACACATATGGTTTTCTAAATACCCAGGTGCCAGGTCCCATGAATTATATTTTTAGGGGGGTTCGGGCCGGGGGCATGCCTGCGTACCTGCGTATACCCTGCACTACACCACTGTCCGGAAGCGCACCCAGTGTCGGGAGGTGCGCGCCTGGATGACGGCCGGTTTCAGCGGTCATTCCGGCTGTCACGGTCCTAGTTTGATGACCCGTTGTCCCGCATCGGAACGAGGATCACCCTCGCCCTCACCCCTGTCATTTATTTCTGTTTAGATGATAAATGGAGCCAGCCTCCAAAAGTTATTGACCTGATATGTCCTTCTTTTTCTTTTTTCAGAACACGCTGTGTGGGTTTCCAGACACGAACTATGTTATGTATGTTGTTTGTCTTTACTTTGGAATAATTATGTTTCATATAATCTAGATCAGATACTGAATAAATAGCATTCAATTCAAAATGAATATGTCTCATGTAGCCTGATGGGGTTTGGGCATTGAGTGCATTAGATTTTTTGATCCAGACACTTTTTATTTCACCTACCTTTTGTCTTCTGCATTCTCCTTATGTCTCCTGTTCTTCCCTCAGACTCATCCCCCAGATACAGTCCCACTGTCCCAGCCCCAAACCCCATCTCTGCCATAATAATTAGTAAAGGCTGGTTTCTAAAGTACTTTTCCTGCATTAATGTTCATGGGTAGCCTAAATGGGATCCATTCAGACCTAAAATTAAGTCTTTTACTGTTATATGTCAACAAGATTAAAAAAATATATTTTCACCTGCTATATACCCAATGTTTAGATAATTTTGGGTAATTATGCAAATTAGCACATATGTAATTATATTATGCACTGTTTGTCCATGTTAACAAATAATTGCGAAACAACTTGTAATACATTTTTGTTTGTCTTGATGTAAGTAGAATTTCATGATGATATCTGGTTAAATTTTTTACCCTTTTCATGTGAGAAAAAGAATGAATTTGCGTATGATATATTTCAACGCATTCTCACCCCAAGGCGTCACGCCTTGGGGGTGAGAATGGGCTGTTTGGACATGCTTCAATATCTGACGCTTTAGGCGCCCTTTAGCGTCAGTAAGATGACGCCCTAAGATCGCGTGTTCCCTACCCCCACCCCACACCTAAACCTAACCGCGTCCTCTAACAGACGCTTTCCTGTAGCGTCAGTTAGATGACGCCGTAGGATCGCGTCATGTAAGTGACGCTAAAGGGCGCCTAAAACGTCAAATATTGAAGCATGGTCAAAGGTGACGCCTTGGGGTGAGAATGCGTTGGTCCAAAAGCTTCCCAAGGCGTCAGTTAGGTGACGCCTTGGGGGTGAGAATGGGCTGTATATTTGGGTCTTTTTGAATCGTTCCCTCACCCAACTGATGCCTTGGGTCAGAAAAAAAGGTACAAAACCTGTCACTGGGGCGGTACCTTTTCAAAAAAGTACACTTTTGTACCTGGAGGGTGCATGTTGGTACCATAATTGTACAAATATGTACCATGAAGGTACCAATATGCACCCTTTAGGTACAAAAGTGTACCATGAAGGTACCAATATGCACCCTTTGTGTACAAAAGTGTATGAAAAGGTACCGCCCCAGTGACAGCTTTCGTACCTTTTTTTCTGAGAGTGAAGCATTTTGACCATGCTTCAATATCTGATGCTTTAGGCACCCTTTAGCGTTAGTCAGATGACGCCCTATCGCGTCTAACCCTACCCCTACCCCAGACTTAAACCTAACCACGTCATTACCTTTTGCGTCAGTTAGATGACGCCCTAGGATCGCGTCATGTGACTGACGCTAAAGGGTGCCTAAAGCGTAGAATATTACAGTTTTTTTAGATTGCTAAACGACAGTGAGCACGACTGGAGCTAAATGTGCAAAACTCTAACTACAGTCTGCATTACCAACAGTCACCTGAGCACAACTCTTAACACAAGGCTCAAAACAGGCTCAGTGTGCACAACACTATGCACAACCCTCACTGAGATAACACACCCTGTCACTCAGAACACACTGAGAGAAAAAACAGTAGCACCAAACACCAATGCAGAAAATCCAAACTTTTCATCTTTACAGTTTCAACAATTTCACACTTCAGAAAGTAATATTTTCTTCAAAGAAAACAGTGACATTCTTTCATTTGATATTTTAAAATTTTTAAAGCATAACAACTGAGAATTAGCAGTTTGCGTCAATAGTCTGTAGTAATTTACAGAATTACAGTAATGAGGTAAAAAAAAAGGTAGAAACTAAAAGTACATACTGTAATACTGTAACCCTGCCTCTCTCAAGCATTAGGCCACACGTTTCCAGCCTTTCAGCTGAAATTGTTTGAAAATCAGCTGTGTGTGAAAGGCACAAGGCTGAAATTTATTCTGTTTTGAATGTGTGGTTCACAGTTTTGACAGCAGTGTGTTAGCATTTGAACAAAGTGCTGTAAATCCACAGTGTTGTGCAGGTTGTGGTTAAAGTCATGGGATAAGTGTGTAGAGTTTTGAAAACTGTGTTCAAGCAATGAAAAACGATCTAGAGTTTGATCCTCATGAACTGCTGCTGTGCAGACTGAGTTTTGCACATGTAGCTCCAGTTGTGCTCCACTGTGGTTTAGCAATCGAAAAAAACTGTAAAGCATGGTCAAAACTGTCAGTTAGGTGACGCCTTGGGGTGAGAATGCTTTGCCTTGTGGATTTATTTTATAGAGTCGTGGAGATTGAAGGCAAGGCAGGCAAACACCCCACATTTTCATCTTTCTCAAAACACAGCAATGAGGAAAAAAAATGTGATTGGGAAGAGAGCCACAGTGGATGTCCCAGTCCAGAGGGATGCCAACATCACAATGTGTCCAGCAATATCCACTGATGGACTGCTGTTACACAAACCACTAATTGGGCCATACAACACTGCACGTCTCCTTGCATTCCTGCATGATCTCTATGGAAGGGTTGTGCTAGGTGAGTAAACGGATGCAGAGAGAAGAGATCAGAAACCAACATTTATAATTGTATGGGACAACGTGGCATTTCACTCCCGTGTGGTCACTGAGTGGTTTGCAGCCCATCCCTTACTCTCCATTCCTTACTCTCCATTCCTCAACCCCATAGAGGAATTCTTTTCCTCATGGAGGTGGAAGGTTTATTACCACCATCCACATGACCAAATATCCCTCCTGGATGCAATGAATGCTAGACGCCAGGACATATCAGCAGAAAATTGCCAGGGATGGATCAGGCATGCCAGAAGTTGTGTATTGCCCTTGATGACATAATATGTGATGTGGATGAAAACCTGTGGCCAAATGGAGAAGACCAAGTAGATTAGCATATTGTATCTGTATCAGTGTGGTGCATGTGTATACACATTTTTGTATTTTGGAATTACTCCAAAAAAATCTAAATAAAAGAGCATTGTGCATCATATCTGATTCATTCCAGTAACCTCTATTGCAGTGAATTATAAACAGAGACTGTATGCTACATGTTGTTAGTGTCTATAGGTCATTGATTTGTGGGTGACAAAGTGTGTGTTTGTTGGCTGTCAACCTTTGCTAGTGTTATGGAAGAATGTGATGATTTGAGACCTGAATGAAGTGTTTTGGTAGTTTTAGTGCATTTTGGATCTGAAATTAATTGCTGTGCTGAGCTGAAAGTTGGTTGGCAGAACTGTGTGAAGAGTTTTGAAAAAGTGACCTAAGTATTGAGAAATGTGTCCTAGCGATGGTGTGATAGAATGTCACTCTTTTCTTTGAAGAAAATATTACTTTGTATGAAGTCACTGCAATTGTTCTGTAAAGATGAAAAGTTAATATTTTCTGTATTGGTGTTTGATGCTAGTGTTTTTTTTTTACTCTCAGTGTGTTCTGAGTGACAGTGTGTGTTATCTCAGTGAGGGTTGTGCAGAGTGTTTGGCTGCACTGAGCCTGTTTTGACTTGCGTTGCTTGGAATGAGTTTTGCAGGCACACGCGCAACTGTTTATTGCTTGTGACTATTGGTGATGCAGACTGTAGTTCACTAGTTCACACTTACATACAAGTAAAGGGATTAAAGTATAATGCGTATTTGGCATGCTGTCCGGAGGGGAGGGCTCCGAGCTCGGAATGTGGGCCGAACCTGGAGTACTCCATCAAAATAAAACATCATTTAGTTTTGCACATATAGCTCCAGTTGTGCTCACTGCCCTTGCAATCAATCAAAAAAATGTAATATAATTACCAAAGATTAGATACAATATTTTGGTAAACAGCCCATTCTCAGCCCCAAGGCGTCACTTAACTGACGCCTTGGGAAGCATTTGGACATGCTTCAATATCTGACGCTTTAGGCGCCCTTTAGCGTTAGTAAGATGACGCCCTAGGATCGCGTGTACCCTACCCCCACCCCACACCTAAACCTAACCGCGTCCTCTAACTGACGCTTTCCTTTAGCGTCAGTTAGATGACGCCGTAGGATCGTCCAATTGTTACCGGCCTCAGACCTAGGGGAAATCTGGGCTGGCAGCAAGGGTACACAGGCAGTGAAACACTGTGCACCTGTGAACTGTGGAATAGTAAAGAGACAGACAGGATTAGCGTCTTTCCCTTGGCGCGTCAGCTTTACTTCTGATGTAGTCGACAATTAGATCATAAAGTTCAAGTTCATTTAAATTTACCACATAGTCAGCTTCACGGCCGTCATCTATCGAACTGGCTACAGTCTGTAACTGCCTCAAATTCAAATCTGCAAGTTTCTTCTGGATCTTGACGAGCAGCACTCGCCGTGGGC